AATGTAATATTTTGCATTTATTTCGAAGCATATTCAAAATTCGGTATCAAGTTGTTTCCGCTTCGTCCTTTTTCACTTTACTGATTTTCCCAATCATTTTCGCGAATGCGCCGCCGAGAACAAAGCCATCCGAACCAGCCCCCCGCCCGATTTCATCCTGTGCCGCCACTTCCGTCGCCGACATCGTGCAAACAAATGCGCATAAAAATCCATTATTTTAGCAAACACAACACGCACACACTTACACACTTACACACTTGCACGCTCCATGCTCCATGCTCCACTCCAGCAGCCCCCTCGCCACCCCCACAATTCCAATGCATTGGTGTGCAGCTACAAGCAATTTTTTCTCTGCACAAAATAAATATAAGAGCGTTGAAACGAAAACATTTTTGAACAATATAAAAATTGCAAAAACGAGCGCTCTTGGACTCTGTGGGTGGATTCAGAGGTGGCGGTGGGGGGGAGAAAGGTGCTAGCCCCACAAGGCAGTGGGGTCAAGGGTGAAGTGGGGGCTGCGTTTATTGGCAACAGTGTTGCTATTTGTGTAAACGACTCGTAAAATTTTATGTTGAAGCTGCTGCATACTACGGGCTCTGGCTCTTTTTTTCCAACACTCTCCGCGTTATTTTAACCCTTTCTGCCATTTCTCGGTTGCGAGTACAAACACATGTAGGGGTCAGAGGTCAGCCTACAATTGAGCTGCATGCGGTAGTTTTTTTTTTTTTTTTTTTTTTTTTTTTTTTTTTTTTTTTTTTTTATTAGCATGCGGTAGTGGTTCCTTTTTTTGGGGGGATTGCATACTTTCGGGCTGCGCTTCGATGGGGAAAATGGCGCAAGTGATTGTAAACACTGATTACAATTATGCGGGCGGAAAACTGAAGGTGTGTGTGTGTTTTTGTGTGTGTGTGTGAGCTTATCTGCCCATTAGCCCCCTCCCCGATGCTCCTCCACTGGCTATTTTCTTTTCAATTTGTGTTGTTGTCAGTGCCAGCGAAATTGACATCTATTTTATGTTGCAGCTGCATTTCAATTTTCCAGATGGGGGGGATTCAAGTACGAAATACATGTAAATATTGGATATTGATTGCATTTCGCTTCGCCTGCCAACTTGTCAATGTCAACATAGTGGCAAAGCGGGGCATCGGCGGTTTGGAAAAGCACCGAGGCCGGGAAATGCGTGATAGATCGCTCAACAATGGCGCCAGCGGAAAAGCGAACAACTTTCATTGAAATTCATTAGTCGAGCACTGAAAAAGTTTGCATATTTACTTCCGCCCTGTCATATAATTTCCCGTCCTTTTTTCGGATTTAATGAAGTGCAACTGACATGGCACTTGGTGCCTCTGTCTCTGTCTTCATTTGAATATAATTATGAGTGGCGCACTGGGGAAAAATGTCCACCTGTCACCGAAAATGTCTATCGAAATAGGGGTACACTGCGCACACATATAGTTCAAAGCCCTCTGCTTTCTAGGTTGCTGTGCCAGAGGAGCAAAGATTTAATTTGCTGATGAAGTTCGTGCATCTGCAGTCCCCTCAGCTGCAGTTTACATCCCCCAATTCCTAGCTATGCAAATAGCCAAACGTTGGACCTGCCACTGCTGGCAAATATGATCCACTGCCGAAATGGTCGAGCTGAGGGCTCTGCGATGCTTGTGCTCCGGATTCTGTGTCCCAAATTAGAAACAAATTTGTTTAATTCAATAAAAAGAAAGTTGATTAGGAGCAATGCAGGCGAATGAGACATATGCAAACAGAAAGTTCCCGGCTGGCAATTAACATCCTTGCTACAAAATAAACATCAATATCTGCCAAATGAAATTTATTTTAATTTCAACTCCAAGAAGTGAAAACACTTGCCCAATCCAAATGAAATGCAACCGAAACATGTGCAAAAACGATATACCTCGGCTGATGTGTTGCTTTACTTATCATCAAAGCGGGTAATTCGGTTATTTTTTGGCTGCTGATTTTGGTTGCGTATAAGAGCACTACATTTCCGCTGCACATATATATATATATATGTTATATGAGGGACGCCAAAATGTCTGCGTGCCAGGAGGAAATGGTTTAATCTTGTTTGCCACGAGTGGAAATATGGCCAGGGCAAGGGTTAAAAATTAATGACGCGTTCCGGGGACCCAACACAAATGTTGTCAAAGGCATCAAAGTGCCTGCCCACACACACACACACTCACACACCCTCACACACACCCACTTATTTGCACCCACACACAGAATACGTGCAGGGAGCGTTTCCAATTAAGCCAATCGAGCTGCAAAAAGCCAACCAGGAACGGAAAAGGACGAGGAAGGGGAAGAGGATGTGGAAGTGGAAACGGCGCGTAATTAAAATTTAATTTGCGCCCAAAATTAGACTATGAAATTTCAATAAGGCTCTTCGGATGTTCGGCAGTGAAAAGGCAAATATTGTACTGCCAAAAAAAGCCAACTGTTAACAAAGTAAATTAGTTAAATTTTGCAACGAAAATCCCTTTGATTAAACGCAGCCAAGTGGATGAGATGAAGCTGTAGACGGGAAGCGCAAAGAAAAATCTTCACGACTGGAAATATTATTTATGCCCAGCTGCATCATGGTACTCAGCTAAAGGGATGTTTGCGGCATTCCATCAAGTTTCAACTTTAATATATTCCTTCAATTACTGATCTTATTTTATCAACATTTGGGTTCTAGAGTATTTGGCTTTATGTTTCCTTCCGTGTATCCTGAGCTTAGATAAATAACCAAGTCGCTGCTAAGCAGCCAAGATACAAGACAAACATGGCGACACATTCAGTCCTGTTGCCCTGTTCTACACACCCTTGGCAATCTAAGCGCATAAATTGTGAGAACGAAGTGTTTGGATTAAGCTGCGAGTTGTGCTTGCGGCTAGCTGGAGACCATGACCTCGCCTGGCCGCAGTGGCTAGGAGTGCAACACCCACATGGATGCCACACATCCACCACCCACCTGCTGGCCAATTTATTTATACGCATTTAAAACTGATTTATGTGCGGAGCAAGAGGGACAGCTTCCCGCCCCCCGTTGGCCAGCAACCACGTGAGTTGCGTCTTTAATTTAGCTGCCAACAAAATCCAACCACTTCCCCATTTTTGCAAGCCACGCCGTTCGCCACAAATGCATTTTCAATGGAATTTCTCACTTGCTAACGTGTTTTCAGCTCTCGGAGCTCTACTTTCTCGTGAGCTGCCAACGATTTATGTGCCATGTTCTGGCGTTTCGCACTCGCACTCGCACCGCCCCTCGCCCTCATCCATCCAGTCAGCGAGCTTGCTCCTCTGCTTAAAGGCGAACTTACCTTAAATCTGTTTTGGCACAATAAAAATACCCACTCACTCCGCTAGGCCCTTTATGCACAGTTGCCTGCCAACCGGGCTAAAAGACGCTTTACATGGTGCACACTCTGTGGGAAAATCTGTTATCGCATTAACAATTTCCTACTAATTTCGACACACAAGCAGGGAAGCTGGGTGGTGAGGGAAAAATCCTGCAGATATAATTAAATTGCGTGCAAAACTAACCAGCACTTGGGGTGGGAAATATTATAGAAAATTACAGGGGAAACTGTATACTCTTCTTAATGTAAGCAAAGCATAGACATTTACAAATATACATATTTATATTTCTCATCTTATTTTTCTAAATAATTATAATTAATCTTGCATAATAAATAGGTCTGCATAGAAAATAGGTATACCGTACAAGAAGAGTATGGAGTGTTAGCATAATAATTTCATTACGAATCACGGCTCTTCCAAGCAAAAATCGGGAAAGCTTAATATTTCCCTCTTGTATTTAAGTAATTATGCTAGGTGTCCTCCGGGAAAATACAACTGATTCTCGTTCGTTTGCCTGTCAACAGGAGGCTTAAGTATCTGTATTTGTACTGCCATTAATTTACAAAAATCTTCATTACACATAAACATGTTATTTATACAGCCATCGGCGATTCACAAAACGAAGTGAGCCGCTTGGCCGGCAGACACTGCGAGAAAGGGGGGTGGACAGGAATCGGCAAGGACATTGTGGGCACGCAACAATGCTGAAAGTGGAGAAACGGGGGAACCGTGGCCAAGACCTCGACATAAGTCCTTGCACATCAACTCAATTGATGACCCTTTGGCAGTTTAACTGCCTCAACATCGCTTAATGTGCACTCCATCAACATAAATCACTCATACGTCGCGTTAAACACGCTCAAACTTCAAATGACGTGTATTTAAGCGAAGAGGGGGCGGGGAGGGCACACGGCCATGGCCATAAATTAATTAAGCCTGCCCGCTTCTCACTCGACGGTCCAAGTTCGTGGCCCTGCCCCTTTCGCCTTTCGCTTCTTTAAGCTGCAATTAAACTGTAAAAGCGAACGACGGCAGCGGCGATGGCGGCAACAGCAAATTACAACCATTTACAATTAATTTGAACAACACGCTGCCATGCAAATGGCGTGCCATGGCTCATAACTTCCAATGGCCACCGAAACCCACACGCCGACGCACTCTTTGAGCCATTAAAAAAGGACCAAAAGGCGAGCGACGTGCAAATACTCAATTAGCATATCAATAAATCAAGAAATGAGTGGTGTGGGTGCGGTCCGATCCGCCTCTGTCCTTCGCCGCCGGGGCAATCAAAATTTAGTTAACAACGCCAAACAATTTATTAACTCACGGCGGGCCAAGTCGTTCGACCTTGAGGCTGGCAACGTGACGTATACGTAATCTGATGGCGTGCCAACCCAATTAATCATGAAGCCCTGCGGCTCGGACGTATTGGATTGCACTTTTGTCAGGATACATATGAATGTTATATGAGGTCGCGATGGTGTGAGCACTTTTTCATCGCAGGTATTGATGGTGTCAAAAACGGTGATTAATATAAATAATTAATTTCATCATGGGCAATTAAGCATGTTTTAATTGTAAAATGTTGCGTCTCATTTGGAACAATAAATTAGTTTTATGCCTCAGTCAGTTCTGAAATGTCCCCTGGGTCGGTGGTGTTTTCTCTATTCGTGAGTAAGAGCCATGCTATAAATCCGATATTTGTTGATTAGTTCGGTTTAGCTGCTGCTCAGGTGCTTTTGCCTGATCAACTGCGAAATTAATTGCAAATTGGAGAGGAAAAGAGCCGCAGTATGTAAATAACGAAACCAAAAGCATACAATGCTACTTCTACATATCCTGCCAGGACCTATCCATCAAATGCTGCCAGCTAACACGTCCCAGCTTAGATAAAGGCAATGCCGAATGTAGAAAAAGCCTCAACTTGCCTGCGCACCGGAAATTCAACTTTGCCGAACTATATACGATTAATATGGTGAGCTGGAAGTATAGCCAATCCAAACTATAAACATTTTATCCTACTGAAACAGTGCATTGAGGAGTGCAACTACATAGGCTGCGGCTACATAGAAATCGATCCACCCTTTCGCCTGGATCTGGCCAACATTCGCATCAACCTGCAGACGATTGCGCCCCAGCCACAGAATGAATCGATTCCATTCCTGGTGGATGCGTATCGGAAATGCGAGTTATTCCGATCGTCACACGGAAGACGATTCACTCTCCACCTGCCGGATATTGAATTCATCGAGGAACCCTGCAACCCCTTTGCCTTACAAGTCACCATATGCGTCCGCATCCATGCAATGCAAAAGTGTCCCAGCGAATTTTACGTGGACAGCGAGGAGTGCCGATTGGCCAGGGAATACTTCACCCAGTGCGTCGGGGATATCGAAAGCAATCTTGCCTAGGCATCAACCTGAAATCAACGAAAGTTCATATGTATCCTGTGGGAACTTCCATCGCAACCTGCTAAAATGCGTTGAAAAATAAAGGAAAATGTCGTAAAAGTCATAGATGAAATATGGCAATTTGACTGTGAAGTCCTCGATGTGGGTTATTCTGCTCTTGGCTGCACTGTCCCAACTGCAAATTGAATCACACTCGCATACTCACATACATACACACAGGACTCGCTCGCATGTCAATGTCCTCTGCTGAGTTTGCATAACTTCGTCTGCTGCTGCCAGCTCCCCTTGCCCCAAAGGCCCCTCTTTCACTATTTAAACTGGTTAGTTTTTTGACACTTTTTTTAACACATGCACATTACTTGTAATGTAAACGGGTATGCCCAATTTAAGGATTAGTTGGATGCGACATAATTGCACGATTAACATAGACAGAGAATTAAAGGGAATAAAATACTTTCAATGGTTTTCGGTCATTGTAGTCTAATCTGAAAATATTTCACTCCAAGAGGAAAAGTTTCTAAAGACACTAAGTGAAAGCTTAGAATGTTGAGTAATCCCTATTCGATCACTTGCTAAAGCAACATTGGCTAGCCAAGTCAGCAGCAAAAGTTGCCGTTATATATAACACGTCTGTCGGTCTGTCTTCGGGTGGTTTCACTGTGTTTTTTGTCGGTGTCGCAGGACATGTTATGCAACTGGAATAAAGGAGCAGAATTTATGTGTTAGCTGGATGACTGTGCCAGCAAGTCCTTGGCCGCTCCCCCTTCCGTTCTCGCCGTGCCAATGTGTCTGGCTTTGCAGCGTCAGGTTAAACGGGATTTATGTCCTTCAAGACGTGCAGCCTCAGCCTGTTTTCTTAAAACAATTAACGTATTACGGCCCTCTCCTTTGGCCTCCTTTGGCCCTCCTGCCAAATCCATCTGTGTTCCGTGCTTGTTTCTCTGGCTGGGAGTGGATCCAGTTCTGAACTGATTTGCATTTCCAGCCGAGAAGAAGCTGGCAGGGAGGCAACTGGCTGCCCCGGGCCGACAATCAAAGGACTTTGGCTTGGCTTGGCATTTTTCTTTAATTACGCCCTCGAGTCAAATTAAAAGCAAATGATAGTTGTCTCCCTTCTGGTGTATCCTTTCCCGCCTTTGCTCCTTTCGTTATCTGTGGCTCTCCGGCATTTCCCAGTTTACTTAGTCAAATCAAAGCTTTCAAGAAAATTGTTTTCCTTTCTTTCTGATGGTCAAACTGCTGACCAAGGACTACTACCCACTTAAGCAAGATCTCACACATTCATAGCTCCTTATTACAGCTAGACTGCTTTGTTAGCTGCATGTCCTTGAGTGCACTCGAGTAGGAGCTTTTGAGTTTGAGGTTTTTGTGGCAAATAATTTGTGTAATTAAGTGACCACCAACAGCCCCCCTTCCAGTTAATTGCTTATTTGTGTAGCTAATTAGTTGGGTATTGCCAACAAACAGGAGCTGGCCAGCCATCTGAAGAAGAGTTCGCTGATGATGATGAGGATAATGATGGTGCCTCCGAGAGTGGCTCAATTCACCTCACACCACAGTCCCTGATTTTTTTCCTCACTCGCATCAGACGTTGTCTAGCACTCGTAATTAAAAAAGATCCATAAAAGCGACGGGGAAGTACAAAAGAGAGGCACGTGTGCTCCTCATCCCTGGGAGGTCCTTCCCCTCGCCCGTCGCCCGCCTGGCGGGCTGCATAATTCAGGCAGGATCCTGCACCACTGCACCACTGCACCACCGACCACCATAACAAGCTGGCGGCGTGCAATCAAAATTATTATAATTGCGACGCGTTCGCCTTTGTGCGACAACAATGACTTCCGCTTCCGTGCTGAAATTCGCCTGTGTCTGCTTGTCATTCCATGTGCCATGTACCCACTGCATTGTTTTCCATCGCAGGAGCAGAGATAGTGGGCTGGGTGGCTGGAACAGCACATTAAGTGCCTGCAAAAGACGAGCAACAAAGTGAGCAGCTGCGGGATGGGGCAGGAGCAGGAGTACTCCACCGTGGGGAAACTGAAAGATGGGAACAACGTGCTCAAGTCCTGGCAAAATGCAAAACGCAAAATGGGTGGATGGTTGTTCAGGATGGGACACATTTTATGCAACCAGTTACTATAATAGAGTGCAGCCAGCTAACTGAGCTCATCTTGAGCTGCACGAGGGTACTCATGAGATCAACTGGCCTTAACGGCTGCGACTAAACCTAATCAATCAATCATGCAATCCGTCAATCAGTCGGTCTGGTCTCAATCAGCAGCCAAGCCAAACATCAGCCACACTCGGCACCTAATGAAATAATTCAATTTGCGCTTGCCTTTGCCTTTGGCTTGATTATGATTATTATTGTTATTACGACGACTGTGATTATCAACACTCCAACTTTGGCAGGCGTTATTAATTGGGCCAAAGTGCTGGCCCTGGCCAAGAAAATTTTCCCAGTCCGAATGTGATCGTTGGCCAATCAATGAAAGTGCCAGCCGCACGCAACCTGCAATTTAATCAGTTTAATTAATAAGCACCATCGTTTGTCAGCACAGGAGTTGCCTAGACCCGGAAATTGAGTGGCATTGTTTGTCACGGGCAAAACAGTCGTCTAAGTGGCACAGCTGATTGCTGCTGCTGCTGCAACGTTGTTGGCCAATGTTGTTGGCCTGGCCAAATCCAGAACTTGGCCTAGACCTATTTTGAAATGACTTATTTATGGCACTCGAACAGGTCACAAATGGCAGGGCCGTCCTGGTAATGGCTTCATTTGTCTGGCTCCGGCTGATTTATCTAAATGAATTGTTACTGCCGCGTATTTGTCACAATTCCGTTGGGGTTTTATCTACCGATCCCGATCCTGGCCCACTGCCCACAGCCCCTCTTTTGCCCGCTGAGCCTTTCGCTTTGGCTTTCCGCTTCTAATTGCCTCGCATGCGACAGCCAAATCCTGCCGTGGAAAACCCCCTTTTTGCATATTTAGTGAGCCAAGCGGTGGGAGCTTAGTGCTGTGCCATTGCAAAATATGCGGCTAGCAATTTCGTTTTGGGTCCCTTTCTGGATTTAAAGCGCAATCCATAGTTTCGTGATCGATGGCCATAGACATTAATGGTGCTAAGTGGGCCATAAAAGCAAATGAAACTTTGCGGCGACTGCAGTTGAAGGCGGTCCTAGGAATTATATAAAAATTACATACATAAGCTCGAGTGGCCACTTGACTGCCATATGAATCCGCACACACAACACACTCACACTCACACTCACACACCCACACCACTCAAGTGGTCCACTCAGACACAAATATTACAATGGCAGCGAGTACAATACAATAAATCAACGACTCGGGCAAACTCAGCAGCTCTACGGCCTGCTACAAATAAATGCATAAACTTCGAGTGTCAAACAACAAGAAAAGTATGAAAGTTGGGCGAGAAATGGGAAAGTGGGAGAAATGGGAAAAATGGGACAAGGGTAAGCAGGTTGAACCGTTCCAAGCCATTTCGCTCGGCAATCAATGAGCTATGAAAATATGGAAAAATATAAGCGACAAAACGTGCCATCCATTGTCTATCCGAAATTCCGGGGTAAGTTGGCTATTTTGTCAGTTTACAAATCACCTTCCGTATGCAGCTGACTGGTCAATTGGCGCCTGACATTACGCATTCGCAACGTTGGCCAAGAGGAACCTGAATCGTTGTTTTAGATGCCTGCAAACTCATGAAATAATACAAGCACGCATCGATTTAACCTTTGCAGGGCGTGGCCCATCCTCAAAAGCAGACACAAAGTCTGGCAAAGAGCAGAAATCTGTTGAATATCAAATAACAATCACTTGGCAAGCTAAATATATCATTATGCCTAAGTAGGCGGTCGGCTGGGAAGGGGAAAGTGGGTGGCAGGAGTTTTGAGGCAGCTACAAAAAGCTTAGCACATGCGAACATGCGAGCAACCAAATGGGATCTGACTAAGTGTGTGTGTATGTGTATGAGGGAATGGGGGGATTTGTTTGTGCCCTTATTTTTTTATATTTTTGTTTCCTTTTTTGGGTGGCTGTTTGTCGGGGCTATCCTTTTTCGCCTCCTCATCCTGTCGCCTTTCTTTGCTACTTTTTATAATCCTCACAGCTTGCATGTTTGCCTAGCACCTACGAGGGATAGAAATCTGCGGATGGGTCGATGATGCGGAACAGGTTTAAAAAGTTTAAGCCGGAGAATCCTGTTGTTGCGGCTGCTGCGGGGGACTCTTCTCGTTTGCCGGGTTTTATATATAATACATTTGGAAAAATTTACAAATCATCTTGCATATTTGATTTGCATACAAGATTTTTCATCGCAACTGCCAATACCTTTCCCGACACATCCTACCGGGTGTTTGTATTTGTGTTTGTGTGTGTGTGTGTGTGTGAGTCCTTGAGCTCGTTTGTATGTCGCCGAATTGCACAAGAGATTCACAAATTGCTTTCATTGATTGCCGACAAAGGCGAAGTGTGTGAGGTGAATGGAGACTTTTGTGTCGCTTTGTGTGTGTGCGAGAGGGTGTGGTGCGCGTAAGTGTGTGAGTGTGTGAGTGGGGCTCGAAGCACCTTGACTGCCGGTGGGAATATTTCTTAAATTCCCGCCAGTTTCCTTATGCTCGTGGCATGTTAAACTGCTGGGAAGAGAAATCCCCGGGCCACGTTGCGTATGAGTAATGTCGCTATGGGCCGGCTGCTGAAGAGCACAAACAGCATTTTATAACTGACCAGATGCTAAGAGCCGAGTCGCGACCAGTTGACCCATTTGATTTTTTTTTCGGTCTATGCACTTAAAAGTCTTCCATAAAGTTAAGGATTCCGAGAAGTGTAGTTCATGAGAATTAGAAATTGTTTTGATAAAACTTTTCCAGTTCGCCTAAAAAAAAGATATGAATACGTTTAATATCGATTGAATGAAGGTGTCTTTAAGCTCGTAAATAGTTTTCTGCCAGTGTAGTTCCCCTGGCCATTTGTCGTTTGTTGC